TTCTGCAAACACACGAACGGTAAAGGCATTCGGCGGGCTATTTGCCCACTGTGCCCCACAATGCATTACGCCCTGACAGTGCATTGTGATTGGACAGCGCATGATACTGTCACAAGGGGGCGGGGTAACCTGCCCCCTTGTGACATCATCACAGTATTCAAGAACTGTCATCCCAGTGCAGCTGTCAGATGGCGGGAACCAGCTTTGGGAGCGGAGTGTTTTTTTTTTTTCTTTTTTTAGGAGGTGGCGGGCATCGTGATTGATGTAGGATCTAGTTCGTGGGACATTTTTTAAATTTTAGTTTTTAATAAAGGACTTGTCAAAGACGATCTACTGTCATTTTTACACTACATTTTTTTTTTGTGAATGAGTAGTGCTACCATGTGCCCCATACTCATTCACGTGAGGGGGGTGGGATCTGGGAGCCCCCTTGTTAAAGGGGGCTTCCAGATTCCGATAAGCCACCCGCCTGCGGACCCCACAACCACCAGCCACGGTTGTGGGGAAGAGGCCCTTGTCCCCATCAATGTGTGGTGAAGAGGCACTTGTCCCCATCAACATTGGGACAAGGTGCTTTGGGGGGGAGCCCCCCCTGCCCCAAGGCACCCCCCATGTTGAGGGCATGTGGCCTGGTATGGTTCAGGAGTGGGGGGCACTCGCTTGAGCCCCCCTCTTCCTGACCTGCCGGGCTGCATGCTCAGATAAGGGTTTGGTACGGACTACTTTTTTTTAATTTTGGCATGGGGGTTCCACTAGAAATATATACCAGACCAGAAGGACTTGGTATGGATGGAAGGGGGAACCCTATTTGTTTAAAAAAAATAAAAATAATTAATTGCTGGGCAATATCGGCAATTCTTTTTACATTCAGCTGTCAGCGGGAACCCCTACAGGTCCTATCTTGCTTCCCATTATACTCTTTCCTTTGTGTCATTCATCTGCCTTTCCATAGAAAACAGTTATAATCCCAAATAATTTCATTTTTACAATCTTTTTTTCTCTACTTGGGGAACACCTGTGGTAAAGGTTAAATTGCTGTGTTTCTCAGATTTACCTACAAAAAAATCATACTTTGCTTCTATGGGCATTCCCTTCTGTCATTCACCTTTGACATTCCATAGAATACAATACTAGTAACACTTATTCTATATTTTAAACATCACCACTGAATTTGGGGAGTATGTGTCTGCAAAGGATTTATTTAATACATCTAATGGTTCTGTCTTCAAGTCACATCTTGCTTCCCATTATACTCTATGGGCATTCCCTTTTGTTGTTCACCTTTGTAAATCCATAGAAAACAGCTATAGTCCCAAATAATTAAAATTTTACAATCTGCTACTCGACTTGAGGAACACCAGTGGGAAAAGTTAAATTGATGTGTCCATTAGATTTGCCTGCAAATTCATGTATATTTTGCTTTCTATTATATTCTATAAGCATTCCCTTCCGTTCACCTTCTTTATTCCATAGAAAACAATGATAATCCTGCTTAATCTCAATTTTAAACATCACCAATGAAGTTGGAAAGTATGTCAGCTAAGTATTTTTTTGATGTGTCTAATGGTTCTAATGTCAAATCACATCTTGCTTTCCATTGTACTCTATGGGCATTCCATTCTGTCACCTTTGTCATTCCATTGAAAACAGCTATAATCCCACATAATTTTAATCTTAAATTCTGCTATTGTACTTGGGGAACGCCTGTGGTAAAAGTTAAAATGCTATGTTTCTCAGATTTGCCTGCAAATAAATTCATATTTTGGTTCCCATTATATTCTATGAGTATTCTCTTCTGTCAGTCACCTTTTTCGTTCATAAAAACAATAATGCTGCTTAATCTAAATTTTTAACATCACCACTGAATTTGGACAGTGCCCATAGGAAATGCCCATAAAATATAATGGGAAGACAAATATGAATTTATTTGCAGGCAAATCTGAGAAACACAGCAATTTAACCTTTTCCACGGGTGTACCCCAAGTAGAATAGCAGATTGTAAAAATGAAATTATTTGGGAGTATAGCTGTTTTTATGGAATGTCAGATGAATAACACAAAGGAATACCCATGGAGTATAATTGGAGGCAAGAAATGACCTGGACTCAGAACCAGCTTCAACATACCAAATAAATCCTTAGCAGGCATACTCTCCAAGTTCAGTGGTGATGTATAACCACTTGCCCTCCTGAGAATTTACTACCCTTCCTGACCAGGCCATTTTTTGCGATACGGCGCTGCGTTATTTTAACTGACAATTGTACGGTCATGCAACGCTGCACCCAAATTAAATTTATGTTCTTTTTCCTACAAATAGAGCTTTCTTTTGGTGGTATGTGATCACCCCGCGCGTTTTTTATTTTTTTGCAGTATACACAAAAAAGACCAACAATTTTGAAAAAAAAAACTATATTTTTGACTTTTTTCTATTAAACATGTCCGGTAAAAAAAGTTTAAAAAATCATTGTCAAAATTTAGGACAAAATGTATTTTGCTACATGTCTTTGCTCAAAAATCCCAATACGTGTAAATTTATTGGTTGAAAGTTATAGCATCTATAAATGGTGGTATATATAGAGTGGAATTTAAAAAAAAATGTTTTTATATTAGTAATGGCAGCGATAAGCGACTTATAGCGGGACAGTGATCAGTGCTATTAAAAAGCACTAACACTGTAGTAATTACGCTGAGAAGGAAGGGGTTAACATGTGGGGAGATCAAAGGGTTAACTGTGTGCTGTGTTGTGTTTTACATTATGTGTTGTGTGTGGTTTACTATGTAGACAAGCTGCTTTGTATTGCTCTGCTGTTTCTGCTGACAGGGAGAGATCTCTGTTGTTTGCACACAGACCTCTCCCCTGTCACTGTTCCTTGGCAATCGCTGTGTGCTGGCGGAGAATCTCTGGCCAGGACCCGATGATCGACAGCTGTAACTGCCAATGGCGGCACGCGCGCGCCTTCTACCTGGAAAATGCAAAATCATGTATATATATATATACGTGATTTTGCACAGCCCTGTCAACCTGTAGCAGTAGTTCTGCTATAGGGAGGAGGGAAGCAGTTAAAATTGAGATGAAGTGGGAATATTATTGTTTTCCATGGAATGACAAAGGTGAATGACAGAAGGGAATGCCCATAGAGTAAAATGGGAAGCAAGATGTGATTTGGAGTAAAAACTATTACGTGTAAAGAAAAAACCGTTAGCAGACATACTCTTTAAATTTGGAGGCAATGTTTAAAACTGAGATTAAGTGGGATTATTATTGCTTTCTATGGAATAACAAGTGTGAATGACAAAAGGGAATACCCATAGAATATAATGGGAAACAAAATATAAATGTATTTGCAGACAAACCTGTGTCACATAGTAAATTACCTTTCCCATAGATGTTCCCCAAATAGAGTAGCAGATTGTAAAATTGAGAATACCTTGGATTATAGCTGTTTTCTGTGGAATGACAAAGGTGAATGACAGAATGGAATGCCCATAGATTATATTGGGAAGCAAGATGTGAATTGACTTCAGAACCATTAGACATAACAAATAAATCCTTAGCAGACACACTATCCAAATTCAGTGGTGATGTTTAAAATTGAGATTTAGCAGGATTATTATTGTTTTCTATGGAATGACAAAGGTGAATGACAGTAGGGAATGCCCATAGAATATAACGGGAAGCACAATATAAACTAATTTGCAGGCAAATCTAATGAACACAGAAACGTCTCTTTTCCCACAGGTGTTCCTCAAACAGAGTAGCAGATTGTAGGTTTGAAATTATTTTGGATTATGATGGTTTTCTATGGAATGAAGATGAATGACAAAAGGGAATGCCCATAGAGTATAATAAGAAGCAAGATGTTACCTGGAGTCAGAACCATTAGACGGGACATACTAAAAGGAATGTTGCTCATTGCAGAGTAACGGACCTTAGCTGTGATGGTATATTAGTTTATTTTTGCTGGCTTTTCTGTTCCTTTAATTCACATGGTGATCCTGCCAGTAGCATACTGCCTGTCATATAGTAATAAAGCACACTCTCTCTATGTATGGTGGAGCTGCATTGTTTCCCTTGACTACTCCCCTGATTAAGACTACAAACATCTCTTCTGATCTCCATTACATAAGGAGGATGTGTCAAGGTCCTACCTTTTCCCAGAGGTTATGTTACGCCATGTGCTGGCATCCATCTTGGATTTCTGCTGAGCATGGTGGGAAGCTTTTATGCCTTCAGGTCTCTGAGGTCCATCCCCCAGAGGGGTGTGGCTGAGTACATATAAGCCTGTGATCCGCACTTGTGTCTTGTGTCTTTATCTTGCTACAGCTCTGTGTATATGCTCGTGACTCTTCTGGTATTCTGACTCGGCTTGTGACTAAGACCATTCTCTGTGTTTTCCTTCGATCTGTCCTTCCGTTGCTGAACCCGGCCCGTGACTTGTGATTCTCTGTCTACTGTTCTGTACTGTTTTGTCCTGTTGTTGTCGACTCGGCTTGCCTGACTACGCTATTGTCATTCTCACCAGCTACACGCCATTGGCGGCGGCCATTACCGCAGCCGGGGTGTCTCGGGGGCCGCGACCTGGTTCCTGGCTGCGTCAAGTCCATCCCCACCATCAGGGGCCCTGGTGAAGGGCAGCCTGGGACTTAGACTCCGCGCCCTGAGGGACTTCGGTCTGTTGGTGGCGGTTGTCGTCAGCCAGTGCCTTACCCTGCCACTAGGCCTACCTGTCCGTTCCACAGCCCTGCCCTGACAGGATGTTTTTTGTAGTCCCAAGGAGATAGCATTGTTTGAGATTTCAGTCCAGTGCACACTAATTTAGTTTGATGTAAGATCAAAAGGTATTTTTTGGCCTTTCAGAAAATGTACTTGGCTGGAAAAACTAAAAACAAATGCAGCCACCGCATCTAAGGACTGGTAAACTGCAATATATTACTTTTTTTGTTCTTGACTTTAGGTATCCTTTAATTATTAATTACTGTCTGATCTCCACCTTTCTCAAGGTGCTGGGACCTGAGTGCTGGCCACATGAAGTGGATTTACCAGACACCAATTCTAGCTGCAACTTTGGTAAGGAAAAACATATTAGCAGTAATAACAGGGGAAAAAAGTATGCATTCTATGCAAGTCAAATTAACAAACAATTCCGGTTTATTTCTTGTTTTTCTAAAAATATTAGGATTAACCAGCTGCTTTTTTTCTTGTGAATGCATCTTGAGATAGGGAGTGCTTCTACTCTTTATTTTCTGCAGTAATGTCCTGATGTCACTGGGAGAGATTTACTAAATTTGGTGCAGCTGTGCATAGTAGCCAATCAGCTTCTAACCTCAGTTTGTTCAATTAGGCTTTGACAATAAAACCTGGAAGCTGATTGGTTTCTATGCAAAAGTGAGCCTGATTTTGCACTCTCCAGCTTTAGCCTAGGTTCACATCTGTGCGGGCCGCACGGAAAATCTGTGCAGCCGCAGCACCCGCACAGAGAATTGTGGACCCGCGGGCTGGTGCCATTAGTTCTAATGGCACGCCACCCGCACTGGAAAACGCAACCGTACTGGGAACCGAGGTTCCCGTGTGGGCTGAGTTTTCCAAAGAAGTGCAGGGACTTTTTCCCTGCGTGTCACGGGCATGGGAGTCCATTCAAATGAATGGTCTCTTGTGCCCATTCAAAACGCGGCCCGCACAGCCACGGAGATGTGAACTGGGGGTTAGTATTTAAATCTCACTATTCTTATAGATAAGATCAATCTTTCTTAACCTTTTCAACCAGGAGAAACCTTTGAAATAGTTTTCAGGTCTCAGGGAACCTATGACTATAAATCCTCTTCCCCCTTTCAATAAAAATCCAATTTGTGCAAAAAATACATGTAAAGTAAAGTGCCCGCCAGATATTTCAAACATATGTGCAAAAAAGTCCCAATACAGTTCAAATAAAATACAAACAGTGACTCCCCTCCTTTCAGGCGAACACTCTTTCTTGGGTGTGAGTCTCACTCACCAGATATATATGACCCCTTAACTTAATAAGTGAGTCCTTCTGCACTTCCAATCTCCTGTACGTTTCTGAACACACCAGAATGGCAAACCCCAGAATCAGGGTTGATTGGCCGCCACTCGTTTCTCCTCTCCAGTTTATAGCGCCCAGGTAGTGTTTGGGAGGAGACCAGGAAGGTAGCAGGCAATAGTGTAATTCCACTTTAATTAAATCATATAAAAAAAACACATTACATTGCGCTTACATACTTGCAGAAACACAGTGCTGTACACAGTAAGGAAGCTCTAATTCCTGTGGAACACTTCCTATGTTCCAAAGGCTGGAAATGAAACAGTGGAAGTGATGTAAGAAGCTGCACCCTACGCGTTTCATCACAGATGGTGCCATTCTACCTCACTCCACTGTTTAGGTATACTTCTAATCCTGGCAAACATTTTAACCCCTTATGTACCTGGCTGCAATTCACTACACAAGCATCGATTATATACTAATTATACTACATGTATATGCAGATATTCCATTGCAAAACCTAATTAAATATTGATTCTCTATATAATCAATGAGAAAAAACCACTGTGTGAGAAAATAATGGTGGCTATCATTGTTCACATCTAATGAAAACTATTCTCTTACACTTTTGATCTGTATACATGTTCTTGATTAGTGGCTCAGAAGAGAACTGATGCCACTACCTCATTAGCCAGGCAAATAGCATTTTGAGAAAAATATCACCAAAGGAAATCCCTGTATATATGCTGTGTTTACTTAAAAGTGAATACCTTCCATTGCAAACTGTCTTTCTCTTTCTAGGTCAATTTCTTCCTTTTTCTCAACATCATCAGAGTTCTGGCATCAAAACTGTGGGAGACTAAAACTGGGAAACTTGATCCACGACAGCAATATGGGTGAGTCGATGAAACATGCTCTTCTTATATTTATTTAAGTAGGGAGTATACACTATCTACAGTATATATAAGTATTAATGTATATGTACCAACCTACCTATATGAGTTTGTTGGACACCCCACTCCAAAGCCATGACTCTTTTTGCAGCTGTAATTGCACACACTTTTCTGGGGGGGGGGGGGGGGGGCTTTCCACAAGATTAGGCATTATGTTGGTAGCCATTCAGCCAAAAAGAACAAATGTAAGAGATCAGGTACAGAAGATGAATTAGAAAATATGGTTTGTAGTCAGAGTTTCAGTTCTTCCCAAGGGTATTAAACAAGGTTGAGGTCAGGGCTCTGTGTACTGCTTGCTTGAGTTTCTCCAGTTAAGTCGTGTCCTTTTGGACCTGAATTTGTGCACAGGGGTAAAGTCATATTGGAACAGAGAAGGGTCTTCTCCAAACTGTTTCACAGGGCTGGAGGCAAATAATTGTCTAAATCACTGTCCAAAGCCTGCCTCCTCAACATCTCCAAAATACGCCCCTTCTTAAATAATGACACCACAAAGCTTCTAATTCACTCTCTGGTCATCTCTTACCTCCACTACTGCAACTCCCTCCTCATTAGATTACCTTTACATAGGCTATCCCAGCTTCAGTCCATCATGAATGCTGCTGCAAAACTTGTCCACCTTACCAACTGCTCAGTGTCTGCTACCTCTCTCTGCCAATCTCTGTATTGGCTGCCACTCACCCAACAAATTCAATTCAAAATACTAACAATAACTTACAAAACCATCCACAACTCGGCCAACAGCTACATCACTAACCTAGTCTCAAAATACTAACCAAATCATTCTCTTCATTCCTCCCAAGACCTCCTGCTCTCTAGCTTTCTTGTCACTTCCTCCCATGCTCGCCTCCAGGACTTTTCCTGTGCCTCTCCCATCATATGGAATTCCATACCCCAATCTGTCCGGCTATCTCCTACTCTGTCCACTCTTAGGTGATCCCTGAAAACCCTTCTCTTCAGAGAAGCCTATCCTACCTCCACTTAACAACTATATTTCCACTTTCTCCATCAGCTCATCCCCCACAGGACCTCTGATTCCTCCTGTATTGAATTGTATTGTAACTGTACTGTCTGCCCTCATGTTGTAAAGCACTGGACAAACTGTTGTCATTAAATAAATCCTGTAAATTCATAATAAAATATTTTTGTATGCTGGAAACACCTGAACTCAATCATTTGGAAAGGAGGGTGTTGTCCAAATACATTTGGCCATATAATATATGTATAGTAGTGACATACAAAATTATACTGTGCTTTACAGAGTACAAAAATAGCATTCAAATCAACCTCTGTGCCAATGAAGCTCATGGTCTACTCCCTCTACTACAGTCTTGCATCCATCAGTCATTTGAAACAGGTCAACAAACTTTCCTGTACATTTTTGAATTGTGGGAAGTAAAACAAGCACCCAGAATGAACTCCAACAAACCCTGGGAAAGCACTCAAACCCCAGGCAGCTCAAATCCAACCAAAACATATTTTTTTTTTTTTTAGTTTTTGGATAGAGAGGAGAAAGGTAAGAACCTGTCAGGTTATAAATGCTGCCTGTCTCCACTGGCAAAATAGATAGCAATAACAAAATGAGAAATGTTCTAAGCCTTACACATTCCATTAAGATGTTTATACTGTTAGTGTCCCTGTTGGAGAGATTTCCACCACTTCCTGTTCAATATGGCAACCTTCAAAAAGACAAGAAGTACAGGGATATTTCTTCACTGAGGAAAAGGGCTGCACAAAAACCCAACAAAGGTTGCAGCCTTTCCTTACTCAGTCCATCGCTGTACAATGTTTTGGCTTAAGTTGGACTTAAAACCCGAGACCACCTCATCTCCATTGCCATATATAAAATGTATTTTGTCTCAGGAAAAGTTTATTTTAAGTCTGTGTAAAACACTCATCTCATGCTGCATCAACCTTTGCATTTGTTGCAATATGTCTTTTAGCAAGCATACTGTTCTGTTACATATTATTCATATATATGATGAATCTATTGTTCCAGTCATTTTACACAATGTGTACATGTTAATAAATACTTGCATCTTCTATACAGGAAACTGCTGAAGTCCACCCTGGTCCTGATGCCACTTTTTGGGGTACATTACGTCGTCTTCATGGCCATCCCATATACAGAGGTGACAGGGTTATTGTGGCAGATCCAGATGCATTACGAAATGTTCTTTAACTCTTCCCAGGTATTAGACAAAAATGTTTTCTTGATCTTAGCAATTTTTTAAAAGTATTTTTAAAGTAGACTGTGCACAAAACTGCAAGGTCCGCATATTTCCTAACCTCCACCCCTGGAATAAAAAAAATGTTAATTTAAAAAACAGATTATTGGGAAAAGACAGGAATAGAAACACTTGGCACTCGGCCTCTGGTATGGTTGCTTAGGTGAAGGTGCTGTCATTCAGCCTTCTCATGTGATCTTGTGAGCCCTAAGGGCCTCAACTACAATCAGAATGTACTTCTGTACTGACTGTGGTCGGCTTTAAAACCTAAATTGTTTTTCAAAGTTTCAGATACAGCAGGGAAAGGTCGGTGTGAACAATAGGTCATACGGCAAATTGCTAAGTCTGTGTATTGGTATTGCATTGTTCAGTGTAGCCAATGGCGCCGGTGTGAGTGAGTCCTTACTGAGTACCAAGTGTCAATGGCAAAGCATTGCATTAATTTCTGCTCTGCTTCAGGACTATGACTCCAGATGCAAAAGAGATCCTAATGGGCAGGACAATGAAGAGCTTAGTGTTGCGGGCTTAAAGCTCTGATGTCCTAGGTTCAGTTACTTTTAAGGATGATTTCCACAGCAAGTTTTTTTTGTTCCTGCACATTGGTGTGACTTTCCTTAATTTGTTTTTCACCTACATCAATCCAAGAGAGTGTGTGTATGACTGTGGTAGAGAGATCATCTTCAGGTTGATGTGGATGGCTCAATGTACTCTATGCAAAACTCGATAGACTGCTAAAAATCATTCCAATATACAGAAACACAGGAATGTTTTTGTCGCCACATGCCACATTATGTGCAATAGTGATGTGGGACCTAAAATGTTTTCCATTATATTATAAATGTTACAATATCATATTATATAAGAGCTGATTCACACTTGTGAATTATTGGCTCAGATTTCACTCAATTTCAATTGACACAGTAGTTGTTCAGCGGTTCAGGTCAGATTTACATCAGATTCAGGACAGGATCAGGTCAGGATTTTATCATGTTCACACATGTGGTTTAGAAACGGTTCCCATAGAACTCAATAGCCTGTAATCCACACCTGAACGGACCACGCTGCTCAGAAATCATATGGGACTCTTTTTCAATCCGCACTGAATCTGCATCTCCAGTGAACCGGCACCATGGGAAGCAATATAATTGCACATGTCAAGCGGATTGGATGCGGGTCAAAGCACATTCAATCCGCATATATGTAAAGCGACACTTAAGGGTTCTTGTGCATAAATAAACAGATCCCAGGAAAATCCCACTTTGAACAACCATAGAGTGAATGTGGACTGTAGTATTTGCTTGTGTGTACTTTGAACCCCTGTTCATTACAATGGCTGCCCTAAAGGATAACATCATGTATACATATGCAACTGCTTCTCCTTTTCTACCAATCCTGACTTTTCCTATTTTCTGTTTTTAGGGGTTCTTTGTGGCCATTATCTATTGTTTCTGCAATGGAGAGGTGAGAGGCTTGTTGTGTGATGTGTTTATAGATACAATGTGTTTATTGTTGGTTTTAAGAGTGCAGTGGGTTTCAAAAGGCTACACTGCTCAAAAAAAGTAGGAACACTTTGAAAACACATCAGATCTCAATGGGGGAAAAATATCATGCGGGATATCTATACTGAAATGGACTGGGTAATGTGTTAGGAATGTTAGGATGCCCCATCGTTTGATGGAAATGAAAAATTATCAACCTACAGAGGACTGAGTTCAAAGACACCCCGAAAATCAAAGTGAAAAAATTATGCAGCAGGCTAGTATATTTTGCTGAAATTTCATTGCAGCAACTCAAAATGGTATTCACTAATTTGTATGGCCCCCACGTGCTTGTATACATGCCTGACAACGTCGGGGCATGCTCTTAATGAGATGATGGATGGTGTCCTGGGTTTTTTCTCCCAGATCTGAACCAGGGCATCACTGAGCTCCTGGACAATCTGAGATGCAACCTGGCAGTGTCAGATGGACCAAAACATGATATCCCACAGGTGTTCTATTGGATTTAGGTCAGGCGAGCATGGGGCCATTCAATAGTATCAATTCCTTCATTCTCCAGGAACTGCCTGCTTACTCTCGCCACATGAGGCCGGGCATTGTTATGCACCAGGAGGAACCCAGGACCCACTGCACCAGTGTAGGGTCTGACAATGGGTTCAAGGATTTCATCCAGATATCTAATGGCAATCAGGGTGCCATTGTCTAGCCTGTAGAGGTCTGTGCGTCCCTCCATGGATATGCCTACCCAAACCATCACTGACCCACCACCAAAACGGTCATGCTGAATGATGTTACAGGCAGCATAACGTTCTCCATTGCTTCTCAAGACCCTTTCACGTCTGTCACATGTGCTGAGGATGAATCTGCTCTCATCTGTGAAAAGCACAGGGTGCCAGCGGCAGACCTGCTAATTCTGTTGTTCAGTGGAAAATGCCAATTGAGCTCTATGGTGCCGGGCAGTGAGCACAGGGCTCACTAGAGGACATTGGACTCTCAGGCCACCCTCATGAAGTATGTTTCTGATTGTTTGGTCAGAGACATGCACGCCAGTGGCCTGCTGAAGGTCATTTTGTAGGGCTCTGGCAATGCTCATCCTGTTCCTCCCTGCACAAAGGAGTAGATACTGGTCCTGCTGATGGGTTAAGGACCTTCTAATTGCATGTCTCCTGGAATCTCCTCCATGCTCTTGAGACTGTGCTGGGAGACACAGCAAACCTTCTGGCAATAGCACATATTGATGTGCCATCCTGGAGAATTTGGACTGCCTGTACAACCTCTGTAGGGTCCAGGTATCACCTCATGCTACCGGTAGTGACACTGACCCTAGCCAAATGCAAAACTAGTGAAAAACAGGAGTAGGGAAAAAGATGTCAGTGGCCTCAACCTGTCAAACCATTCTTGTTTTGGGGGTTGTCTCAATGTTGTCCATCTAGTGCACCTGTTGTTAATTTCATTAGCACCAAAGCAGCTGAAACTGATTAACAACCCCCTCTATTACTTAACTGACCATATCAATATCCCAGGAGTTTAATTGACTTGATGCTATACTCTGATTAAAAAGTGTTCATTTAATGTTTTTGAGTAGTGTACTTTAAACTATCCTGGGCCTGTTCTACTGCCATAAATAGCCCCTTATTAGGCCCCTTTCATATGGAGCACACTCTGTTTTAATCAGGAGGGAATCTGTCTGCGGATTCACTGCTGATCATAGCAGTGAGGGTTGTAGACAAGTCCATGTCGCTCAGTTTATGCAGAGTTGACATGGACAAAGCTTGCTTTGCTCTGTGGGCAATCAAGTGTTAACGGCACCAGACTGCCCTCCGATCCGATTCTGCTTTTTTATTTGGCAGACCGAATCAGATTGGAGGTAGCCAGAAGTAAGTGGACACAAATCAGATTACATCCACTGGTCCATAGGGGTTGAAGGAGGGTCCGATCAGGTCGGCCTGAAAAACTAACAGGTGGACCTGACCAGAACTTTCATAAGAAAAAAAGTACCTTTTCTTTTTTTTCAAACAAATATCACCTAAGGGTCAGCAAAATTAGTAATTTCATAGCAAAATTATATTGCCAAAACCTCTCTACTCCACATTTCCTTGCCCTATTATAGCTGAGAATAACAGAAAGGGTGACTTTGCTAATCAGAGCTGACCATGACCATATACGACTTGAATTACGGCCAATTCCTGGTACCGGATAGAAAAATCTCGGCCGAACTGTTGCTGGAGCAAATCAGATGCAGTCACTGTTCTGGTTTTCTGACAGGCATGGGAGCAATGGTTGGTGGATTACATTAGGAAACAAAAGATCTTCCTCTCACCCAACCTGCAGGCCTAATAAGAGAAATCTAATCATATATGGCTAGCCTTACTGACTTCAGCCAACATCCTGAACTATGAAATGGCACCACTATATGTCATCCCTGTGTTCTCCTTTTTCAGCTGTGAGTGTCTGACACATTATTATGACAGTATATACCATGGCTTGACAAATTGCTTTGAATCTAGGAGCCAGCTAAAAAAGTTCTTGTTAGTGTAGCCTAGGTTGTCAGCATGCAGAGCAAGGCAACTTTTGGGCGAAAAGCTTCACACAATGCAATTTGCCATGCAACAATCACGGCAAAACTGCACCACATACTATGTGCCATTGAAAATAATGGCACCTGAACCTGCATTTTGTGATCGCAGTGATTCTGCTGCGATCCCAAAATGCCCCGGTGGGAATAGAGCCACCCTGGTTTACACATATGTGATTTTAGATGCGTTTTCAAGGTTAGATTTGCATGACAGGCTAGATATTATGTGTTCCTCTTGAGGTAGTTCACACAGATATGATCCACACACATTGCGTTTTGATTGCCATTACAAAAAGGGTCCTGTGTGTTCCAGACTTGCAAGTGATAGAGAAGAGTGGCATGTGGAGATAAGTGAGAGAGAGAATGAGAATGAATCGCACCTGTAATGAAAGTGAGATGTGAACCCAGGAGCCAGGATGCAATTCCTGTTCTCCATGGTGACCTGGAATTTGTTGAGCCCTGGTATATACAAAGCAGGCTATTCTGATAATAGTATTTCATTACAGAATAATGACTTTTGGAAAGTTCAACTTTTTTCTCGAAATATTGTGCAGTAAAGTGAGTCAACTTTAGGATTGTTTTCTGCAGCTTTGTGTATGATGTTCAAAGAAAAATTCCAGGCATTGGTTTGCTATACACATAATTACATTGGCCCAGCTTGGACCAATGTATCTATGTATATACCATACCAGGCCAAAGCTGGAAATCACTGAATTAGACACCGCTACTCCAGTGATCTCCATTTGCCTCTGGGTCCTGGGTGAGTGGTTGCTTTCCTGCGTTGTAAACACAGGAGGCCAGCAGCTTGGCACAGGTACCATTCAGAGAATGCTGTGCATTTGTCAAATGAATGTAAAGTGTTTTGATTGGATGAGGTGGAAAGTATGACTCAGTTGTCAACAGTCCTGAAATGTCTGGGACATTTACAAATTTTTAACAGCTGTCCTGATCAGACCTTGTCCCAGGCTGAATCCCTGAAATCAAGGTCTGTCACAGAAGACAGCTGAGCTGCTCGCTGTTCAACTTTAGTGCAGATGGCACCAAAAACACATGCTACCACGTGGGGTGGGTATTAACAGCCACATTATTAAAGCCCTGATCCCTCTCCCTACCTTTATCACCTCCCCCCAGCAGCAGAGCTGTTCAGCGGTTCTGTATTGGGGAATGTCTGACTCTGACTGAGATACCAAGAAGTCAGGTGGTGCCTGCCTCTGCCCCGTGTGATTGGTCGGGACTCCTGAGGGGGTCAACTCTTACCTTAGGAATGGATTCATAATTGTGCACACCAATCCATCCATCTTGTCAAGCCTCTGACTTAATTGGTGACATCTCCTCATCTGATCTCCATTCCGGTACACACAACCATCTCCATCTGGTACACACATTCCTTTCCATCCAGTACACACATTCCTCTCCATCCAGTCCTCTCTCCATCCTGTACACACAGTCTTCTCTCCATCCTGTACACACACAGTCCAGTCTCTCCTCCATCCTGTACACACACACAGTCTCTCTCCACCCTTTACACACAGTCCTCTCTCCATCCTGTACACACACAGTCTTCCTCTCCATCCTGTACACACACAGTCTTCTCTCCATCCTGTACACACAGTCCTCTCTCCATCCTGTACACACACAGTCCTCTCTCCGTCCTCTCCATACTGTACACACAGTCTCTCTCCGTCCTGTACACACACAGTCTTCTCTCCGTCCTGTACACACACAGTACACACAGTTCTCTCCGTCCTGTACACCTGTACTGTACACACACACAGTCTTCTCTCCGTCCTGTACACACACAGTCTTCTCTCCATCCTGTACACACACAGTCTTCTCTCCATCCTGTACACACACAGTCTTCTCTCCATCCTGTACACACACAGTCTTCTCTCCATCCTGTACACACACAGTCTTCTCTCCATCCTGTACACACACAGTCCTCTCTCCATCCTGTACACACACAGTCTTCTCTCCATCCTGTACACACACACAGTCTTCTCTCCATCCTGTACACACTCAGTCTTCTCTCCATCCTGTACACACTCAGTCTTCTCTCCATCCTGTACACACACAGTCTTCTCTCCTCCTGTACACACACATCCGGTACACACAGTCCTCTCTCCATCCATCCTGTACACACACAGTACACACACTTCTCTCCATCCTGTACACACACAGTCTTCTCTCCATCCTGTGCACACACAGTCTTCTCTCCATCCTGTGCACACACAGTCCTCTCTCCATCCTGTACACACACAGTCCTCTCTCCATCCGGTACACACACAGTCCTCTCTCCATCCTGTACACACACAGTCCTCTCTCCATCTGGTACACACATTCTCTCTCCATCCGTTACACGTATTCCTCTCCATCCAGTCCTCTCTCCATCCGGAACACACAGTCCTCTCCGTTCAGTCATCTCCATCCAGTCACCTCTGTCCTGTACAGAGTCATCTCCATCCTGTGCACACAGCCATTCCATCCTGTAC